TGCACCATCGCCATCGTGCTGGATTTGAGCAACTTCCTCTTTTCATACAAATAAGGCTGTAAAGCATCAGTAAATCAAACACGGCACCACCTGTTAGATTAAGAAGGTCTAGTTAGAAAAGCTTGTCTGTGGGCAAAACGGGTACCCAGAAAACTTGTATCTATACCAGACAAATGAAATGTGAACTGTTCAATGCAGTACTCACAATTGATTTGAATGGTATGTCCAATGTGGAGATGAATACTGCACTGTGTATTAAATAGAATACAATGGAATACAATAGAATATTCTGTTGTAATCCCATGTCTCGACAGGCTATGCTGTCTGGATGACCAATAATAGTGGATCGATCATCACTTTACAATAAATAGCAATGATTTTACACACATTAATCGCCATGTGAACACTTTATTAACGCAGAATAAAATTCAAATCATATTCTACAGCCTGCTTCATAGTGTAGCTCCACCTCTGTAACTCCACCTCACCTTCCCTCTGAATCTCTTCCCTTTCCACTAAGGCCTAGCCCATATTATAGGATAATCTGGCCAGTCTTGAGGCCATCTCCCTCCTCCTGACCATCGCAAAAGGTGTTCTGATTTCAGGATAGTCTTCAACGCTTATCTTTCCAGATTATCCTATGGTTCAGCCTATGTATAATCCAGTCTTTACCCCTACACCTATCTATTCACCATCCAACTGTGGCTGCCTGATTTAGAATAGTACACTGTTAGAAACAAAGGTTCTGTGTACCGGTACATTTTTTGTTCATCAAGATACAAACAATGTAAATTTCTCTCAAGGGTACAACAGTGGTTTTAGGTCCAATTGTTAATCTTAAATATGTTTTTCCGGGTGAAAAGTATGTATTAGTACCTCTTCATAACCTAATGTTTTAAAACAGAACAATAAATTAAAAAGCCTGAGACGGGGTGTGTGGAGTCAATACAACTTAAAAAATATATAATTTCAATTAATATCAATTAATATAAAAATATTATTCAATTAATTATGGTACAATTAAGTTCCCAGACTAAAGGTACTGAGATGTACCCTTGAATGTACCACTCCAGTGACTAAAAGGAAACTGCCCCAGTGACAGTTTACTACCTTTATTTCTGACAGTGTAAATGTTACACATATTCAGTTTTTATAAGTCAAAACCACATAGTGTAGGCGGAGCACTGATTCAGTTATATAAAATGCAGTGTTGAGGTCACATGTGAAAGACTGTTAACCAATGAGAGCCAAGCTGAACTGAGAGCCCAGATGAATAAAAGGGTATCCTGATGTACAATGTAAAAAAAACAAATATATATTTTCTCTACTTTTATGCTGCTAACTTCGCACATAACTAGCAATCTCTGCATTGCTATCATCTGTCATGTTTGTTTGATCCAAAGTCATGTTTGCCCAAGAGAAATTCTGCAAGATCTCAGGTTCTGAGAGATGAGTCCATTGATTGGGCCGCTGATTCGTGAACACAATCTGAAAGTGAGTGGTGTTTTGTTCTGAGTAAATCTTGTAGTGTGTGCAGGCTTTGATGACTGAACAACAACCAAAGGCAAAAAATCTGTGGACTCTGTGGAATGTTATTATGTGTGGGGTCTCATATTTTCCTCATCTTGTAGTGTTGGCCAGGCAAAAGTGTGTATCCTAGTTTATGATATTAATGTGGTCAGTGTCTCTTAAGTGATATTCATTCTACCAGCTAAGAATGATTGCTATGTTGCTGTAAAGAAACATCCTTCGAACGTGCACCGTCTATATCAGAACTTTCTAAGAGTGTCCATGACATTTTAAAACTCTAGCTTAGGTGTTTAAATGGAAACCTTGCTGCTGACTAAAAACATATCCTTCCTGTATTAGTGTATAGACTCTATAGAGCTCAGAAAATCACATTTTCCCAAGACTAAGAGATGACATCACCTTCCTTCATCACTATCGTCTCACATCACCTCTTCTGCACTGGTGTTATTTTGAAGACAGAAAAAGGAGAAAATGCGATTAACACAATCATTGATACAACTACCAGAAGTAATAAAGGCTGCTCTCTGTGTTGTGGTGTGAATCTCACTGTGAGGTACAAATTTTGAGGCTCTTACATTGCAATACAGCATATAACATTGGGAGACATTAGAATAATAAGATCCAAAGACAACAGTGTGAAACTGTGGTAGGCTATTTGAAAGTAGCCCACAGAGGAAAAGCTTGGACAGAAGTGCTTTAATGAGTATAACGCTGGAGCTAGCGCGGCTCATGATAAGACTCTGTCTGACATGATGTATTACTGAGATACGTGGAAGAGGGTAAGTGCAACAGAATCTTCTATTAACTTGTCCAGGGTCTGTTAGACTGCAGGAAAGAGGAGTGGAAACTTAGTCACCAGGCCAATGTTAACCACACTGCAGAGCTAAACAGGCAGCTAGCTAACTCAGTTAGCTTGCTTGTGTCACACTGAGCAGACCTGCCAATCATTCTCAATCAGCTAGCTCACTTACAGATGTGTGGCATGCAGTCCATCGATATAAATCTGTACTTGACAGAGGTCAAAAATGAGATTTTCACTGGAGTTATGTGCTAGACAAGACTTCACTAACATTGGCCAAAAGTTTAATAGAGCCAATTTAGTGACTCGCCTAGCCCTCCCCATTCATTTCTCAACCAGGCCAAGAGGGAGTGTGGCACATCTAGTCTATTCTGGAGGCTTTATTAGCTCTCAAGGAAATGTATGACAGTGGGACCTGTGGTCCTAAACGCTCTGTGGTAATGGCCTCCCCGAGATAATTGGTCTCACAGTTCCCAAGCTTCACACAGTAGAGACGCTAACCATTCTCCTTTTGATGTTTCTGTGGTCTGTAAATTTAAAATCAGCCATTTACAATAAGATATCACACATGTGGTTGTCTTAAGAGTAGCTGTCCTAAGGCTGTGCGTATGTCAGTGGGGTAAATAGGAGCATATGGACCCCAGTGTACAAAAAATGAACAAGCCCATCATATTGTAGCGTCAGTAAGGACGAGGCAGGACCAGAAAGCATTGAAAAAATGAAAAAAGCTTTTAGTTGGCAACTTATAATTAAAACATAGAGCTAATCTCAGGAAGTGGGAAGTGAAATCTAACCTAGCCGACAGGAAGTAACTAAACCCCACCGGCTCGCAGTATACAGTGAAGTAAACAAACATGCAAAGCCTGCTGGTTACACACAGTAACACATACAACTGTGCAGGGCATGAAGTAATCATTAACAGAGATAAAATATGGTTAGATGGAGCATGTAAACACCATAACTACAGTTCCCAGGAGGCTCATGGAGTAAATGTAAATGAGCTGGAGAACCACACAGGGCTCAAAGTCACCCCTCAGGAAATAAACAGAAATGAGTGTAATTTGCTTCGCAAAAGTCAGAGACCGCCCTTTTTCACTTTCCAATGAAAAACTTTAATTACAAGTTTTTCATTTTTCAGCTGATATATCTGAGGAGATTTTATACGTTTTTATGTCTTAAACCAGGGGCCGGCAACCCAAATGTTTAGAAGAGCCATTTTGTCCCTTTAACAAAAATCAAACCACCTTGAGAGCCACAACATTTTGTGTCCATTTTACCATCTTGGCTGTAACTATGTCTCAATATGTGCCACCAGCATAGGCTAAAAAATATAATATAAACCAAAACACAGACTTACTTTGCTCTGCTTTAAACTTTAGCTTCAGCTATAGCCACTTTTCTCCAGCAGGAAACTTTTCCTCAAAAGTGGAATAGTTTCTTGTAAAATATCTCTCAACATTTGCCTCTTTACGAGACTGAAGTCAGCTTGTCATTCGTCAGCTTCAATTTCCCGTTTCACCTGAAATGGTGCCTAAGGAATGTAACTGCTGCACTGTTGGAAGGTACTGGAAACTTCTAACAAGAAACTAGAGAATGAGAGGATGATTTCAGCCTCACTTTAGTGTTTGACAGTTTCTCGTTGTAGATGAAACATATCAGGAAACCAGCTGGAGTGATTGTAAATGCAAATAAGCCGATTTGTCTCCAAATTATCAATGTTCATCTTAAATCTTTCTCTTTGCTTTTTTGTTAGCTATTAGCTAGGCCAGACTGTTGTCTGCATTGCTATGGTGACCAGCAGTCTGGCTCCATTAACTCCATCGTTTAAGACCATTTATTGTTAATATTGTGTTAGAATGATCAGCAGAACTGTATTTTACTGCAAAGAAGAATTGTTTTATTTTGACCTAAAAATCAGCCAAAAAAGAAGAACATTTGCAAATCAAATCTGGTGCTCTCAGAACAATGGACTGACCAAGCCAGAGTCCAGACCTCAACATCACTGAATGTGTTTGGGATTACTTGTCCCTTCAGATTTCTTTAAAAAACTGAAAGCAAGTCTCTAATAAAGGCAAAGAGTGGACACACTAAATACAGAAAAAATGGGATAGCATATGTAATTGTTGAGTCTTCTTCTGTGTAATTTTCTGTAAAATATACGTTTTCTGTTTTTTTCCAGATGTTGAAAAAATAGATAAGTTGTACTCAATGGCCGTTTTGCCCCGCAAGCGTTACTGGTAGTTACACCAACGCTGTGACCTCATATCAACTGATCTCAACTGTCTCGGCTGATAAATGAAAATGTGAATGTAGGTTAAAGCGTAAAGAGTTCCCTGAATTTTTCTCAATAAATCCTGCTTCATATGTGAGAACGTGTGAGGGTGTGTATGTGCTCCCTTTTCATTCATACTCTAGCTAGATTTCCACTGCTCTCAGATAATTCACACATTTACAGCTCTCTCTGTCTCTCTGTTTCTCTCTCTTGCTCGCTCTCTCCCTTACACTTTGTCTGAGCCTGAACTGGGAATTTGAAAAAGTTTTGATCCATTTCTTCAATTTTTTTCCTTTCAGTTATGAGCTGCTTTTCACCTTAGTTCTGTGAAATGGCAAGGGCTGTAGGTGCACTTTGTTCTGTTTCGCAGCTGATGAATGTTGCATGTGTGTGTTTCAGAGATGACCTTTATCGCGTGGAGCTGGACCATGTATCAGGAGATGAGATGTTCTACAGCAAAGTGAGTCTTGTTTCTTCAAACACACACTTTGTGACTCAATAAGATGTGTGTGTGAATGTATGCAGTCTGAATGCAAAAGTTTGAGCACTCCTGTTCATATTACATGTGTGGTTGAATTTCTAATTTTTTTTTTATCTGCACATTTTAGTGCACAATTTTGAATTTTTGTTGAGTTTAACATATTGGGAAAAAATGAGACATAGAATATTAAACGTGCCATAACTTAAACAGTAATTGTGCATTAAAATGTGCAGACGTGTGCTCTGTGTAGAGGATGTGTTCACTTATTTTCACTTAGAAAATCAACAAAATGTGTAATTTGACCAGGGTGCCCAGACTTTTGCACACAACTGTAAATGTGAACTAGCTACGGCAGAAAACACTTTGGGTCATTACCGATAATGCTGACAATAAAAATTTGTTAACAGATATTTCTATTGATTATCTTTTGTTTACATTTGTTTCACCTACAGTATTGTGTCTATATGAGCAGATAGTGAAAGAAAAAGAACAATTGTGGCTGAAAGTTAAAAAAGAAGTGAAGTCTGGGAGTATTTTCCTAAAATGAAGGATAAAGTAAACACATACAACATATCACTGCTGTCAGAACAAAACCTCGTATCTCCAAAATGATAACTTGGCAGGAGAAGGAAAAAACATACTTTACTTTCAATGTAAGTCAATGGAACCACACTTTTTTTTCCAAGTCATTTGGAGCCATTTCTTGTGGTCCACGATGTAAAGGACTACAGACATTTTTAAATTATGCCAAAAACTTATAAATGACAAAAATCGAGATGCGAGGTTGTGCTCCGACAGCAGCGATATGCAAGTCTGGCTTTGCATGGAAGCACAACGTTACCTGCAAACACCAAAATCAAACATTCTGCTGATGATTCTGAAGCAGCAGAACAGTCAGTAAATGGTAGCTTTCCTTCCATGCTGGTGTCCTGACAAACTGAACTGCTCCTTGAGGACACACAGTCAGTGATTTGTCAGAATGAGCTAACGTTACTCTTACAAACATCACTAAAGCTCCTTCTATTACATTACTTAGGTTATTCACTAAAATATTCTAAGATGCATCAGTTTTCATTAATAAGAACATCAGAAAATGTCATCAGCTTGTCCTGGAAAGCTGTTACAGACAGCTCATCTAGTGAACTAGCACAAACATTTTTAATCTATTTTTAAGCTATTACTTACTGTAATGTAGCTTAGAATTATTTGCAGGCTTATACAAAGCACCATGTTTTTTCCGTGGTAGTAGTTTAGCTCTTGGTGAACAGTACCTCAGCTTGCCAAATTTTATTGTTACAGCTCTTCACATTTACAGATCACATTCAAACCAGTTAAACAATTATTAGTCGATTAATTCACACAAATAATTGAATGTCTAACTATTCATCTTTGCAGCACTCGAACTAACTCTGCTCTCATTCTCTCACTGCAGAAGAGAACGTGGGAATCCAATAAGAATGACATCCGAATCTGCCGGATGAAGGGCAAACATGAGGTGAGTGTTCAGTATTGTTAAACGTTTCAGGACGTGGCTGTTCAACAGTGCTAAATGCGTCAGAATGGTTCTCAGTGGATATTTCACACGGCTGAATGCCTCAGAACGGTTCTCAGTGCATGTTCAACACTGCTTAATAGCACACGGTGCTGCTAAATTCATCAGATTTGACACAGAGGGCCCACTGTACTAAGCCTTTTGCACCAGTTTTAGGCGCAAATCAGACGCGTGCTGCCTGCATGTTGTATATGAAACTGCTGCGCAAGCAGTTAATGGGCCGTGTGCATGGAAAAATGCAAATTCTGGCTTCTCTCCCTCATGCTTATGCTTTTGAGCAGGGTTCTTTCAAAACATGGGAGGAAAATGGGTTGAGATATTGGGAGTGCAACTGATTACATATTCCACTTGATTTAGTAAAGTTTGAGAAACTTGAGGCTGCTTACTCCATCTTTTCAAGCAAGGCATAAATTTGCAGTAGTGCCTCAGAAAGAAGGCTTTTTTCTTATATATATCTTTTTTTCCTTGAGGTCCACTTTTGACAGCCTTATAATAAAACAGGCTGTTTTATTACTGTGCTTTTAAGACATATATGTAAATGACATTTGTTCTGATAGGCTGTTCTGTATTGTGCCTCATTCAAAAAGCAGTGTGGGCTGAAACACTCCTTATAACTTCAGTGTGAATGAGTGAGACTAAACTGCTGTAGGCTGAATTCACAATATTCGATTACATCATTAAGAAGACCACATACCCATTTTGGTAGGCAAGCTATGACTCTGACTGTGCTCTGATAGAGCTTGTCTCATCATTGTTACTACAGATAAGGCCCTGCAGGTGGATTAAAACCAAGCAAAATAGACCAGAGTGACCACTAAAAAGATTTTAGGACATGTGGATGCTTTAGATGCATCTCCAGAAAATGCCACGAGAAGAATTAGCTCAGACCATTCCCGTGTGTGATATTTTATAAAAACAAATAAAAGTGGCTACCAAAGCTGCCAAAGCTCTTAAATAATAAACTCCTACGCATATATAAAGCTGAAGTCAGCTTTTTATTTGCCAGCTTCTCATTTAAATTTACCGTTCCACCTTAAATGGTGCTACAGTTACAATAAGGTGCCTTAAACATAGAACTAATTTCAAAAATTGGCAAATACAAAGCTAATGTCGGCTTACCTCAATAAATGCATCAATTTACTTCAATAAATGGAGATGTTACTGGTCAGCTAATGTGCACCACAGTGAAGCTAATCAGCCATCGGAGCTGCGGAACTCGTCTTACTGGCTGATCTACGCTGTGTCCCAAGCCACACACTTCTGTACTACTTTTCTACTACACTAATGAGTGCACTTTTAATAGTATATTTGTGCTTTTTTGCATGTTATCTAGTGAGCTGGTATGCAGTTTGGAACACAGAAATAGTAACACAGAAAACACGGAAATCTCAGCCGTTTAGATTAGCTTTTGTTTGTAATCACTACAACCACAAATCAAATGAAATCAAGTCAGAACCCTCAAATTCACTGGTTAATGTGCTTTAAAAAACATTTTAAAGGTTTAAAAATGTGTTTTACTGCCTTTGCTGGATTGGTTATGGCTTTGTGATCTCATTACAAACAGCCACAGCACTGCTGAATGAACTTGAAGGTGCCATCCAAAATGGTGGCAATGAGGTTGTGACAACATTGGAATACTATCAATAGGCAGATTGTTGGTTTTCATATCACAAAATAGTGAATTCAAAATAGATTGTTTTTGCAGCTTAATTTCCATATATGGACTGTATAGACTGAGGACTGAATGATAGATTTTGAAACTTTAACAATTTTACATACTGTATCCAACTCTTAATTTAAAAAAGCAAGGATAATTTGGGTTTCTCATGATATGGGCTTTTTAACAATGGCAGTAGATATGGCGGCTAAATGGACTCAAGCAAGCCTAGAACAAGTGCTTAGAATAAAATCCTGTTCCATTAACATAAATTCAAGTTAATAACCTTTTCTTCCTTGTCCTATAAAGTTACCATTTTAGATATATCGTTTTGATATGAGAGCATGTATTAATTAATATATTCTGATGTGGAAAATAGTAAAACAAGATGTCTGTAAGGGCGTGTCCAAACTTGTGACTGGTACTGTACCTCAGAAATAGAGGTTTTTGCCTTTAAACCTTGTGTAGAGATTATCCTCATTTTCTGATGGTAACCCCCCCGACTGTAAAAGGTCGTGTCTCAGCGGCTGCGTCTGATTACAGCAGGATGTCGGCGTATGGCCGCCAGGCACACACGCGCTGGCCTGTTTCGCTTTGATCTTCGCCTGACAAATCGGTGCTTCTTGTGAAGTTCAGGGGCTAATTACAGTAGACTGGCCGCTTCCCCACTTCCACACAGCCGTGCTTCAAGGGGATTGGTGTCAAACCCGGGCGTGTATTATTGTTCAACAAGAGCTAGCTTACAAATGAGACTTGTCTGTTGCCCACACCGATACTTCCCCAGTTCCTCACACACACACATTAAAGACCTACACACACACACACACACTGTGATTTATCCGTGCAGTTTATTCAGTGCCAATTTATTTTATTCAAACATGTTTATAATTGATGACATCTTGCACACCAAACTCAGACGGTAAAAATGCAACATAGTTTTGTTCACCATATGTTCAGTTTTCTTCGTTCAACTTTCGCCAAAGCTGGTATATAACGTAAACCAAGATAGTGCACATCAATTCAAGTCAATGGGACAAAAAGTGATACAATTTCCCCCGGTTAAGATTGTGTCCCATTTCGTTCACCAGATCCGCAGGGCTGCCAGCTCTCACACGTTGGCCGTGAGACACGCTCAGTTACGTCTAATTTCACGGTCTTGCGTCTCCCCTTAAAGCCATCGACCAATGAATGTGAATGCCCAGAAAGTTTCCTCCTACTACTACAGCTCCAGCTTTCACTGATTAAAAAGACTCTATACCAGCAATGGTGATTTACTTGAATGCAAGCTAGCTAGCTTGTCACTACTGTATGTGTTTTAGATTAATGGAGCTGGCCAGTATCGATAGCAGCAGGAAACCAATAAGGGACATTTAAAATGTATTCAAAAAAAGAAATCAAATGTTGTCGACCCAAATGGCTCAAAAATTAAATTAAAATGTTTCAGTATTAAAGATTTCTATGTAATGGGATTCAATGATATGGAAACATAAATAGGAAAGAAATTGTATTTTCTTCTTAACAGTATTTTGTTGTTGTAATCCAGTAATACTAAGTAATACTAAGAAATACTGCCAAAAAGTAACCCCACAAAAACCTGCCTAACCCCCTGACCCCAGCCCACCCACTGTGTTGTATTTAGCCATAAAGTCATTTTTACCGTGTCATACTCATCATTACCTCAACATTTTCATTTTGTTTACACTGAGACCCAGATACAGCCTTGTGTCAGTCACACATAGCAATACTTATAATGCAGTTTATCCTTTCTTTATTGTTTTAACACCACTAGCATAATGCTAATTTCCATTAGGATTGCTATAGGCTTGCCCAGTATATGTTAGCATCAAGCTAATGGTTCACCTAAGCAATTCATAGAATCTGTAGCTAGTCAATTAATGACTGAATAGACAATCAGTGAACAATTCAGCAACATTTCATCCGACACTTTTCAGTAAAGACTGAATATTTCTGAAGGAGCTTAGTTAGCCTATTAGCTATTAGCCATTTTGCAGGTCAGCCTACTTAAATGTCATTTTATTCCTGAAATTGATAAATAAAGGGCATTACTTGTATATTATAGCATTATTTTGTAGGTAGTAGGTAGCTATTGTCAAACATTCATCATCAAAGCATAAAATGAAGATAATTCAGAGAGTAGCTAAGCAGCTAACAGGTTGCTATGAACATGTCAACTAGTAGAAAACTGATCATGTTAAATGTCTTGCAAGAGCAAAACCCTTGTTAGGAGGTGTTTTTAGTACACAAGTGAAAATAACACATAGCAGATGGCTTTATATAACCAGAAGGATATGATATTTGAAAAATATCTGTTATCTACTCGCTAACTCGACTTTGATTATTTTTGAACTGCTTAGAGTGACTCACATATTGCAAACTGCACGTATTCACCTCTGCGACTTGTTTGAGCACTTTCTTCTGTCATTCTTTCTGCTGTTCACTCACTCTGTTTCTCCAGCTTCTGCTTCACTCCTTGTACTCCTTTCTGTCATTCATTCCTCTCTCTCTCTCTCTCTCTCTCACTCTCTCCTCTCTCTCTCAGTCTCTCATTCTCTCAGGGTCTCCCTTGGTGACAGTAATGTCTATGATTACTGTTTTCTTCATAAGTCATCAGCCTCCTTTTCACCCCGTTCATCATGTATAGAAAGATCAGAAAGGAGAGAATTAGAGAGAGAGACAGAGAGAGAGAGAGAAGCACACAGACACACATCTGTCTCCATTAAATCCCTCAGCTGCTTTGGTGACTGTCTAACATTACATGTGAGGTTGAACATGCCACACTTTAAGCACAGAGAGGTGTCTGCGAGTCGGTAAAGAGAGCCTGATGAGAAACATAGACGCAGCGAGAAAATCAAAGCCCATAACAGGCTGTCAGCTGTGTTGTGTGTGAGTGTGATACATCAGAGAAATCCGAGATGCTGTTTACAGCTATTAGCCTCATTACAGTAAACGTCTATTAGAGACACTGGAGGAGAGAAATAGTAAAGAGATTACCATCAGCTACACACACAAACACACAAACACATAAATTTGTAAGTATACAGTGAGGGGAAACATGTTCAGACACTTGTTTTTGTATGGAATACACTTCCAGAGCACATCCACATTGATCTTATACACGTAATGTCTTTGGTAACACTTTACTTGGAGGGTATCTACATAACACATTCATAACACCTTACATAAACAATTCATAACATGTTAATTAATGTTTGAATCATCATTTATAAAGTATATGTTTTACATTATATTTATATGGACTACTATG